TTCTTCATAGTTTCTGAACAAGAATATTGAAACAGCTCTCGGACATTTTAAAATATTCAAAATATTTCACTGACGCATCAGTGCTACACTGATACTGAACTGAACGGACACTGTGACGGAACTGTGGCTTCACTGATATGTGTGAATCGAGCTTTAGACTGAGCCTATTTTGTAAATTTTGGAATTCGCTGCCTGCTGCTGTCTTTCCCTGAACAGTATATCCAGGCATTTTCAAGGCGAGAGTGAATAGGCACTTACAGGGCAGTGTACCATCCTAGACTGCATCCCACTTGAACACCAGGTGCGATTGCGGTCAAAAATATGCCTTGTATGCATAAAAAAACACAAGTTGTCCCAAAAAATTGTGATAAGCCGAAGTAGTAGTAGGTAGAGCTTCACTAGGGCTATCTCAATTACCGCGACTTGTAATAGTTTTCGAGATTTTTACATAACGCGACCTTATCCTTTTGATAGTTTTCGAGTTATGATTTGTTTACATAACGTTCTTCGTATCGTTCGTATCTTCATTATTTTAAAAGTTCTCAATACAAGTTTTGCTCGTTTAATGCCCGGTTTCCATCAAAGCCGAGCGGAGTAGACCTAAGTGTTTTGAAAAACAGTCAGCGCCTCGATTGCGCTAAAAATTAACAACTGCAACGCAACTGAACCACAGAATAAGTAATAGTACCAAGGTAACTGGAAGACGAACGAACATCAGCTGTTTTGACAAGTCCGTATTGCGGTGTCGTTTTCACAGCTAGTTCAAACGGAGCTGAAACATAAACGGAGCGCAAATTGCATTATTTCCATATCTCTTCTCCGCTAAGGAAACCTTATAGTAGATGGCGCTATGTACCATGTCCATGTCCAACCGTAATATTAAAATGATCACATATTATGTAGCTCTCAATTAATCACGATGACTGACGCAATATGATGACGCAAAAGAACCCAAGTCAGGCCCCTAATTTGTTTTTTACTGGTCAGTTATAAAGTAAACATAATATTTCGGAATTTGGTTTGTCCAGAACCTAGTACAGTCAGCATCAAACTTGACAACCAAAGTAGCCAAAAAGTTCGCAACACGTCTTTTTTACATTGGAATAACTTTTTGGCCACTTTGGGTTTGGATGATTGTTAAGTTAAAAAGCTAAGTTCGCTTCCTAAAGCGATTCTGAAATTACAATTATCACGTTTTGTCCTTGGGGCTGATGATGATGATTTAAGACACAATAAACAACAGAGTAGTGACTGAGTTTCTTCTGCCATTTCTTCTCAGCGCCAGCCCATACTATTATGTTGTCCCGAAGTGGTGGTAGGGCAAGCTATATTTGGGACGTGTTAAACGCCCTGGAAAGTGAATAAAAGCTACTGAATAAAAGATTTGATTTTGAGTAATAAAAAATCAAAGCGCAGCGTATGACGTCCTCCCCACAAGGCGGACCGACAACCTCATAAAGGTAGCAGGAAGGCGCTGGATGCAGGCCGCCACCAACCGGGTATTGTGGAAATCATTGGGGGAGGCCTATGTTCAGCAGTGGACGTCCTGTGGCTGAAATGACGATGATGAAACCACGTATTAATAAAAGATCAAAGAAATTAAGAACAATTTTTGTTTCAGATTCAAGTTCTTGCAACAAGGAACAAACTCAGCCATGATGGAGGACGTACTGCCCAAGATGAGGAGCCTCAGTCCAGGGCTTGAGGACTTCACCGCCATCAACAAAAAGTACAATCAGGTGAGAAGTTTACCATAGATTTACCTAATAAGTACGAGTAGATAGATCCTACTTTGAAGAATAAACGCGCAGAAAATCTGATTGTTTCCTCAATGATATTAAAGAACTATAGGTATGTTACGTTCATAGAAATTACGATTTGAATCCGTGCCGAGCTATTCCAAATCGCACACATTGACAAATGTAACTGATAAGTGAAACAAAAGATTCGAAATAGCACGCAAATGAAAGAGATAGCTATAGTTTTAACGATTCTGCACTAACTAATCTATGTCCGCAGCGCGGTATCCTTCCGTTTGGCCAAATTACTTTTCGTCAAATTTCACTTCGCAAACAACTTATCGCCAAAGTTTCATTTCCCAAATGAACTTTTAGCAACTGTACTTTTCGCAACTAATTCATTTGGTCAAATTATCATTTGGCCAAATTTTACTTGGCAAATGTTTATTTAGCAAATGTTTTATGTTGCCAAATATTATATCCCAAATAATTTGTTTGGTCAAATTGACACTTCACATACTTACCCACCGTTACCCACAAATCAAAGCATAAGGCACATGATCATGGTTTTCACAATAATTTTATGTAAAACATTGCAGAAAATAGTATGGTTGCAAAAAGTAGGTATTGCAGAAAATAGTAGGTTAGGTTAGGTTAGAACAGTGACCCTTTGCGCGAAGGCGAGCGAAGCGTGCCGCGGTAGCGGCCGCCGAGCGCTAGAATCACCTCTATTGTTAATTAATCATTTGGAAATTTCGATACAAAGAATGAAATAAGGAAATTAATGTAGAACAAATTTTATATTAACTCCCCATTAAACAAAATAATAACCACAAGCTAATTTGTATACCATTCTATGCACCAATCAAAATAATTTGTAAATAGTTTATCGTGAAATANCCGCAGCGCACGCATCCTTATCGCTCTAACGTCAAAACAAGATCGCTTTCTCTTTCTTAACTTGAACATGGCGCATGGCGTCTTGATTGTTTGCATAAATAATTGAAAATATAAATACTAAATAATTTTGCATAATCACATGTGGTAAGAGATCCCTTGTATTTTGTTTACTTTAGAGTCATAATTGGTACACTTTCGAAACACACACGATGGCATTTTTTATTTATTTTGGTAAGAACAGGAACTTACGGTGTGGTACGCACGCGATTGCGCACGACGCAGGCCACTCGAAGACTAAACACAAGACGTCCCAATTGGGACGTATTTGAGTATTCACAGCGCGAGCGCTTATAACATATCTGCTTTTGTTTTTATATAATATCATTGGTTTCCTAAAAAAACTTTTGGTCTGTCAAATAATATTATCAAAAAATATTGAATAAGTGCGTATATTTTTATTTGTCAATCAAACAAGTCATTTATTTATTTAAAATCTTTATTACACACACCATAAAAAGCGGTACAAAAGGGAAACTTAATTCCATGTGGCATTCTCTACCAGCTAAACTTAGGCAAAACAGATATTTACTAAGCAATGGTTCGTTGAAGTTCCGGTGACGTCACAAAGTGCTACACTTTCAACCACTCTTTGACGTCACGGGCAAAATCTATTGTGTGTGTGTTTTCATTTGATCTTTGGCGCGCTTTAACTCTTTCAATATTCATTAGTAGGTATAAAAAACTGTAAAAACTTGCTGTTTGGTTATTATCAAAAAGGTGACTCTAGAAACATTAAAATTTCATGTCAATAACCTGCCATACTTAATACTGATCTTCACCACAAATCTTCACGTACGAATGTAAATGGTTAGATATGAAATGATAAAAGATGGCATATTATTGGTAGGTTTTACCACAAAATATAACAGAAGGTAAACTCATGTATGTACCTCGCTTTGCATACCTCTCTCGCTCGCACGCTCGGCCGTCGCGCTAGGGTTGTCTTGTCATGTGCAACACATGATCATTTATTTCGTTATGATAGAAAAATGTAACTCTTAATACTATGCAAGAAAGACAATAACAGATATCCACGTATACTTATTTATATTTAGTACGTTATTATAGTAATAGTTTGCAAACAAATACACGAGAAGGAAGTAGTATTTAGTTGAGTGGTTGACACTATTATCCAACTAATATTATAAATGCGAAAGTTTGGATGTCTGGATGTTTGTTGCTCTTTCACGCGATCACTACTGAACGGATTTTGATGTAACTTTACAGTATTATTGTTTATAACCCTGAATAATATATAGGCTATAATTTATGACGATCTGTGACAAACTAAATTTCACGCGGGTGAAGCCGCGGGCAAAAGCTAGTTATCTAATAATTCCTAAAACCTCTCTAAACAATTCGATATTCCTAATAATTGAGTTGGCTTTCAATTTGAATTGAAATTCAAATAAATAACTTACTTACCTCCCCGAATCAACTGGTAATTTAAAAAATGAAAATTCGGCATTCAATGATGAGTTTAAGCAACCAAATACCGAACAATTAAAATACGACTTTTTCTGTTCACTCATTTTCGTCAATTGCGCAAAACAAAATAATATCACAGGCGGTTGACCGGCGCGTGACTCAAGCGAACCACAGGGAACGTGTGGCGAACGTCTGTCTGTCGCGCCACGTCGCGCTCGCATTCGTCCAAGACAGTCTTGCTCGAGCGGTGTCTGTCTATGTGTGCGTGGCTCGAGCGCGTTTAGTATGGAGTTTGTCTTCTGTTATATTTTGTGGTTTTACTCACATAGTAAGTGAGTACCTACCTACAGTAATGACCCGAGACAACGAAATGATAAGAATAGAATAATTAAGCATTGCGTAACTGTGATGCAATTATTTATTATATGTGAAATAAACATGAAAACTAATAAAAAGGTTTTTGTGAATCCGTGTTTTTTTAATTGATATGAAATAATTTATGCTTTATTTTTTCGAAAAAGTAACTTTTTGAATGCAAAAACGTCTAAAACGTCATCTAGTGACGAGTAGAAAAGTTAGGATGAAAATAATTATCAAGAGATGGCAAGCATTTTTCATTTGCAATGTAATATTGCTACTCAACAACAGATGGCGCTGTACTCAGATCAATGGAAATTCCATTTTTAAAATAGATATTTCTTATTACTATAAATAAATACCGTCTGTTTCTACGTTGCTCATGTAATTATGGATTATTAAAATTAATTAACGTTAATTCTAAACACTCACGCTGGCAATCAGTGAGCTTTGGTCTTGCTCCACCGTATAGCGCTATCTCACTCAAAGTGTCATGATGACGTGTTTCTTTTGATGAGTGTAGTTTGTTCGATCGGAAGTCAGTCACAAACAGAATTTACTATCGAGGTGTTCTTATTTTGATTATTTCGCCTTAAATTAGTGAAAAAACAACTTTAGTGTTTTGTCAGCAGTTCTAAATGTGAATAAACCGTGTTACCGGTTGGATCTTGCAGTGATATTGTGCCCCAAAGTGCTAACTTTTATGTGCGGTATTGCAACTAAAAAAACATCAGTTTTACCAGTGATTTAACTTGTTTTAGTGGTAAAATCTTCCGTTATTGTGGTGTAACGGAGCGGAACGTAAGCCTAATGCTGCAGCAGTCGAAATAATGCATTAACTTTGTTATTTTAATAACAAGTTTTGACGGACCTAACCTCTTTTCAGTTAGGACTACCTACCTTTTTAATCTGGATTTATGAGGTTTATTACCTTTGCTTTAAAAAAACAACGGCACGCCCCTTTTGGAAATGTTTTTTTTTTTTTTTTTAACTCAATATTTATTTTTTTAAATATTATTGATTGAATTTAAATAAAACAAAGCAAGGTTATCTAATCAATTTCTTATCAGAATCAGACGTTGAATGTTATTAGTGTTCAACACGTAATGATAGTAACTCGTAAGGGCAGTCATTTATTTACAATAGTGTATTGACTTTTCTGATTGTCTACAGACAGATTAATGTTGTTTGTAGGTAGATAATTTGTCATTGTGGTGTTTTTTTGTTGTTTTCAACAATCTTATAAGATTCTTATTACAAGACAATGTATGAACTAACATAAATTATTATTTAACAAGAATTTTGCCTTCTTTCTTTGTTAAAAAGTATTTTTATAATCCTCTAGGTTTTGAAATAAATCAATCTTTGAATAAAAAAACTATTTTTTATACTCATAGAGTATGACCAGCTGTGTTGTCTATTATTACCTAGTTGAGGAAAATAATGCCTTCTTAAACATTTGTGGTTTATTTCCACTACCTACCACCTTATTTGCCCCAAAGTCTGCAGAGCTTGTACTTTGACCACTAGATTAAATAAATAAATTTCCTTGGACATTTTTTACTCTGCGCCTCTAGTCCCAAACTAAGCAAAGCTTGTACTATATGGGTTCTAGATATTTGATAAAATTATGCTTATTAAGATTTACAGTTAAACTACCTACATAATTATGCTAATATGAGTACTTTAGTTTAAAAATGCGAAAGTTACCTATCATTTATTTGTTTTAGAAGATTGTACACATTAATAGTTTAGCTTTATTCAGCTTAGCAACATTCAAACCCACAGCTTGCGTTCTTAAAAGCAGTAAAAGATTGATTCAACATTCAGAGAATCGATTGTGTATGCTATGCTATTAACTTCACAATTTGAATGCTGGCCTGAAAGGATTTAAAATAAATTATTCGATAACAAACTCCTTAATTTCATAATTTTAAATAACTGTTTTAAAAAAATTGCTCACTTTATCTAATTTTTATCAATTTAGACTCAAAATGTACACTTTAACGAGCCATCAGGGCAGCAATTGGTTTAATTTAGTTATGAGACTAATCACTTGCTGGAATTATTCCAGGTTTTTGATTGTAAATTTCATACTGAACTGTTTTATTATGGTCATTCAGTAATTCTTTCATATTATTATTTTATCGAACAAACTTTAAAAACATACGTAGATAAGTCTATTTTGGACAGCACTGGCCGATAATAAAGAAAAATACACCATAAACAAAGATATTTTAATGACAAACACGTGTTCCACCCTTGCAACATTATAATGCATTTGCAGCGAGAGTGAGTTATTTCTATGCACTCAAGCTGGCGTCTAGTGCGTTAGAAAGTCTAAAAATAATAGTAGTATAGCAGATCTATTTTTATCGTGCGAGACTGCTTAAAATCATGGGTTTTTACGTGAAAAAAAAATTTTTTTTCCTGAAAAAGTGTAGAAAGAAGTTTAGTTGTAGCTAGAGACAAAACCTTTGCAAGTGGTAAAGGAAAATAGTGTAAAAATTTTAAAATTAATTTACTGTGATACTGGCTGTATGCAAACCAAACGATGCCATATGACATTAAACAAAAAATTTTTTTTTTTTAAAGATGGCATAAAACCGTTTTGCCAATTTATTTTCACATGCAGTCATCTATTGTGTGGCCCTGACATCCCTAGTTTGTGATTTCGGAAAAATGTCGCTAAAGTATAAAATAGGTATGTGTATTGTGTATGTGCTAGCTAATTAAACAAACATTTGCCCTTTACGGGTTTGGAATCCGCAACCTCTGGTATTAGATCACGCCAGACGAACCCCACCCCACAAGTCTGCATGAGGTCACACAGAGATCATTGAAAACTCTTTGTTTTGACCTTTTTAGTCTGTTTTCTGTTTATGTTTTCTCACCGGCCAGCTCGTAGTTTTCTAGCGCGTAAAAATATATGGACGCATTTTTATTTTTAAATGCGAATAGAACGTCCTTGTCAAGGCGATCGGTCAGATGAGGTCGATACTCTCTGGTAACTGGCAGTTGATGTAATAGCCAAAAATAATGAAAAGAAAAAACAGTTTTCGCGGGAAAATCTTTGAAGTTTTTTTCTTTTGGCGACATTTTTTTAATTAAGCCGGTTTGTTGTAAATCTTGGCGAACTCGTAAAGGTTTTTTGACTCATTGCGTTATAAATAAAGTTAAATACTAATGCATTTCAGCAACTGCATTCTTAAAGCATTGTTTTTGTTAATTATCTTATCGATAATTTGCGAATACACTCAAGAAAATTTACTTTATAGCTGTTAATAGCTCTTGTACTCGTATATTTTTAAACTTGATTAATTAATCTTCTTTTTGATTTTTTACAAAGTAATGCACGCGTTTGTAGGCTCTTGAGTAGTTTTAGTATTCCCTGTAGGCATTGCAATCGAAATCGAATAGTTTTTTGTAAAGAAATCGATTCGTTATAATAAACTATTGTATGCTCATAATGTATCGCTAAGGCCGTTCCTCACTAATCAATCAATACCAAATTCACCTTCGACAAAGAATACTTAATGCTTAGAAATCGAACTCGAAACCTGTATTTGCTTAACGTTATTGTGTTAGTTAAGATTTTTTTTCTAAAGTGGCCTAATTAAATAATACAATCCCCCTCCAGACAAGCTAAATATCCATTGCTTGTGTTAGTATTTTACACTTAATCAAACAAAAACAAATTCTACTGCTCAAATGCAACTTTTCCTACAAGTACCCATCCCCATACTATATGAGTGATTGCAGATGGTACCTACCTAATTTTTAGGAAAGGTATGTACCTACTTATGTTTTTGAAATATTTGAACTTCCCCTATACGTAACGTAATGTATAAACGCCCCTGGGTCTGCGGGTGTCTATGGGCGACGGTAATCACTTATCATCAGGTGATCCGTCTGCGCGTTTGCATCCTGTCACATAAAAAAAAACTTCGGTCTCTTGGGAAAAGAAACATTTTCATTTGCGTATATCTGAAGCTTGACGTCTTCTAATTTTTTTTCCAACATCTATCTTGCGTAAAAATGGCCAGTATCATTATTTTAACCGTCATAAATGAGTAAAGAAAAACAAAAGATGGAACATTCAAGCTGTAAATATCGTCGCCTTCGCTAATATGGTAACGACGAATACAAACAAAAAAGGGGCATCGACCTACCTTCGCGGTTGAATCATCTCGAATTTTGTCGATGGTTATGTACAATCAACCACTGCGTCATTAGTTATTTGTATTAAGTGCTATTTTAACAAAATAATTTGGTCTGATAGGTGTACTGTACGTAAGTGAACGATCACATCATCTTTAATGATTGTGGTAGAATAACACCCACTGTCTAAGACAGATGCGATATTGTTTTTCATTTACAGACTTATTTATTGTTGATTGAAAACTAATTGAGTTTTAAAGCTAGAATAACGTTAACCCTTGAAAAGTTATGCCATGGAATTATTGATGAATAGTTTCAAATATAACTGATGGGTGTGATCCCCTATTTTTCATGAATTAAGAAAGAATTCCACGTCCGCCTACAAAGCAGACCGACAACCTCATAAAGGTAGCAAGAAGGCGCTGGATGCAGGCCGCTACCAACCGGTCATTATGGAAATTATTGGGGGAGGCCTATGTTCAGCAGTGGGTGGACGTCCTATGGCTGAAATGATGATGAAGAAAGAACTATCTCTCGAATAGAATAATTCTGCTTATAAAACGAGACTAGTCCCTCCTCGTTCCCACCGCTGCAACTCCTGTGTAGCCAGGATCTACAGCTTGACCGCCAAAAACCCAACCATGAAGGCCAAGATTGTCCCGGAGGAAAGTTAAACAGTCATTAGACCCGCAAAGAAATAATCAGAAGAACATAGAAGTTCTATTGTCAGCTAGTTAAATAACATTGAGAAATTGCGTAATTATGTGGGTAATTCCAGAAAAGAATTGTTTATATCCTCTATTATAAGGTGAGATCAGAGTTCTTGATCTACCCGCCCTTGACATTGGTACACGTCAATGATCTCCAAAACTTGTGTAGGATGAAGAGTAACGACCTATGCTGTTGACACTAATGTGTTTTGGTAGATGTGCAGTTAATATGAAGATTAAGTAGGTATAATGAATGCTTGGACATTAATAAGGATGTTTTGATCTCTCGATTGTAAACCAAAGGACGTCCACTCATTAAAAAACAAGGATTTCCATAACCACCGGTGCTGCGCTGTCCGCATCCTGATGCTCCTGCGCTCAGCACCAAATCGTCAGTCCACCGAGTGGGCCTTTCTGGCCGTAGTCGCTTGAGAACTTTTCTGCCCTACAAGTGTCACCCACGTCCATAGCCATCTAGGTTTGACTATCCTTCAGGTTGTGTAAAATAATTATTGAATCTTAAAGATATGATCAAAATCCAATAGGATTTCTTAGTTTTTGAGGTAATTGCTTACAAAAACATTACGCTAAACATCCTGGCATCTTATGTCCTTGTAATAAATGCGAATTTCCACCAAAAATATCACTGATGCATTGCGAAAATCTTGGCAGTATAATTCTTCCACACGTTGCCATGTCCGAATAAAATTAATAACATCATCAAAACTAAATATAAGCAACGAAAGCGGTAAAATGGAGCAACCTTGCAAGGGCCTTGTGATAAATACAAAGCATTGCAAATAAAATATGATGACACAGAAATTAATTGTGGACCTGAATGGTCGCTGAGGTTAACTGCAGCATGAGCTAATTCTGAGATGTGGAAATTTACAGGTCAGAACTAATTTAGAGAAAAGCAGTAGGTACCTA